CGACGACGACGACGACGACAATTCGACGGTAATAAAAAAAATGAAAAAGGATAGGATGGCTAGGGAGATGGGAGATGGGAGTGGAACAAAGCTGACTGGCTGGCAACAAAGTAGTCGTTGGGTTTATGAGCCGTGAAAATGATGAAATAAAAGGAAAGCATTGAGTGCAAAATGCTTGTGCGCGAATATGTATGTATGAACAAATTATATTTTGATGGCTGTCGCTGGGGGCTAATTAATATTACACAATATTGCAACAGGCCATCAATTAACGTGGCATGTAGCAGTTGCAAGTTGCCAGTTGCAGTTGCAGTTGCAACTATCAGTTGCTTTGAGCGTCGCTCGTTGATTCAACGGAAATTGAGCGAGTAATTCAAGAAACTGTTGCTCGGAAATGTCGTGCCATAAAAATCGGTTTGCCACAGCGTGTTGAAAGTTGTCTCCTCGGCATCGGGGGCCCGATGCCCCGACCCGGACCGGCTCCGCCATCCTGGGCAGCTCCGGCGCACGCACTTACCGAAATTAATGCGATCGATGACAACGCCGCCGCTGCTGCTGCTGCTGCCTCTGCAACAATAAAAGGCAAGGGCCCAAAAATAGCTGGCATACATACGTACATGCATCTACACACTATAGCGTCTATAACATTATGCTGCCTGCCGAAAAGGGACAAAGCAGCCACTGAAATTATGACACGATGTTTTCTTCTGCTGCACAATTATTGCCAACTGTTAACAGATTTGTTGGCCAAGCCGGCAAACTGCAAAAGGGGGAGCAAGGGGAGCAACAGCAGCAGCAGCAGCAGCAGCAACAGCATCTTCTTCTATGTCTGCTGCAGCATTTGTTTGATAATGATAATGGCATGTTGATGTCGATGGCACTTTCCATTGGAAAATTGAGTCATTTTCAGTGGAATTATTGCCATTCTTATTGTGAAAAGATCGAGAAAAGCGAAAACACAAGTTAAGCATTATAGAAATTATAATGCAGATACCAAGCAAAAGGCAAACGAGCTGTAGATGAGATGGCGAGCAGTAAATGGAGTTGCTGCAGATCGGATGAGCAAAGGCTACAGCTGCGGGAAGATACGAAGATAGCGAGAGATGGTAACAGAGAACCGCTAGAGATCAGAGAGAGAGTGTTATAAACTATGCAGATGAACTTCAAATGGGGAATATTTTACAGATTATTTTATTAGCTTATTCACCTAAATAATCAATACTTGCTAAACTTATAAGACTTTACCTCTTCTATACTAGACGTTCATACCATATTCCTGATGTTTAATCATATCAAGTGTCCCAAAATTTACGCTCTCATCAGTTTACATCAAATTCGCTTAAAGAAGCCGAGATTAATATTCGAATTTGTAAAATTTATTTAATATCTATTTAGTGATAGATCGACTTTTCTATTAAGTACATTAAGCTAGAAGCAAAACAAATAGAGCAAATCAGTTTGAATTGGCTTCTGAGATGGTATTATTATTATTTTAGTTATTGTAGGAAACTTTTGGTGAATGCATTATTTTTTTTTTTTTTGTTAATTTTTGGTTTAAGCAAAAAAAATAATAATAATAAAAACAAACACAAACAAAAAAATTAGCGAAAAACTTTAAGAAAAATTTGCCTTGCCAGCAATTTAGTTCGTTGCTGTATTAAATTCTTGGTAGGTAATGACTTTCATCTTATATTTACCTCATAATTCAGCTTCACGGCTTACTCCATTGCAAATTCTGGCAAAAGCAAGCATATCTAATTATATAACTAAAAACGTTTATATTGTAAATGTTGTAATAATTTACGATTTACCAGAACCGCAGTATATATTAAGATTTCCCATCCTTAGCTTTGAATGGCAGCAAAATGCGTTGCATTACACGAAACCAATATATTCCTTTTCCTTTTGCGTATATTGAGCCGTTTAGACTGTTGAGTAAAGAAATTGAAATCCTCCGCATTAATATATAATATAGTAACTTCTAGACTGGATTATTGTCGGCATGAGTTACTGTTAATACTGCTTATAAAACTATTTTATTTTTTTTTTTTGCCTGCATTGCGAAAAATATAACAATTGTTTATTTATAATTGCAATTTAACAAAACTAAACATTTTTGGACAGTTTAGGACATTTTTGGTAAAACTACATGTTCAAGCTTGCTGCAGTAGTGTATATGCATCAAATTCACTCGGGATCAAAACCTGAAGTGGCCAAACGTGTCCACGAGCGTGGATTGTAATTTTGGGGGGCTGTAGGTGGCTGTATCAATTGATCGTCGTCATCTATATCATCGAAATCGACATATTCGCGAGAGGCACGAAAAAGCCTCTCTCCATTCCAGTAGTTAACGGGATGACGACAATTTGGGCAGTTATTGTTGTGCTGTAGCCATCGGCGCAGGCAAAACTTGTGGAACCAGTGGCTGCATGGTAGACGATAGGCTTCGCTCAATCCATCACTCTTGGTGAGCTCCAAACAAATTGAGCATTCAGCATTGTTTGGCAGACGTTCATAGTGGTACTTAAGCCACTTGGCTCCCAAATATTTTTTTAAGTGGTACAGTGACAAGATGACAATCAAAATAGCCGGAACGAAAATTATACAAAAAAGACACATTATAATAATATCTTCATAGAAGATCATTGTGCTAATAATCTCTTCAATTCTTGAGTATGTAAAAAAAAAATGCTCGCGAGCAGAAAATTAAAATATAAATTTTTAGAAAGTGAACTTATTTCATCGAAATAGTAAAATTTTTTGAAGCTATGACGAGCTACGTACAGTACCTGAAAGTAAATGAAATATTCTGAGCAATAATTTCTATGTTGCTATGATCGTTATATATTTTCAGTTAATTCAAATATTTTGAATGCAAAGAAACCGTTATCTATAACGCACTTTTTCGAATGTTAATGAAAGGGAGTGCCCATAATATTATTTTAAATTGCAATCGATATATAAATTGCTGCTGCGATAGTTTTGCAGAAGTATGGCAACTTTCGCTCATCAAACATATGTTTTCTGCCAAACATCGATAAGCGAAAATCGGTAGTATGAAAAATTCCACCTAAAACTATAAAATGACTCAGTTGATAAATACAAAGTAAAGCTCTGAATTTAGAAATGTATTTAATTTATTATTAACCTGAAAGAATCTCCAATCGATGTATTGCTTGTTGGCAAAATTGAAAAAAATCGATATATTTCACAATACCATCCCTTGTTTTTACAGCCAGTCGTGTTTATATTTTTAGTTACCGCCGTTTAATAATAATATTTTAGGCGGCGTCCCACACAATGACTGACATACCGAAGACGCCAAGCACTCCTGGCAGCCGGGCCATCGAAGTTGCCAAGGTGCAGGACCGTGAACTAGCGCAATTTAAAATGCCTTTGCCAAGCAGTACGGACGGACGTAAGCATAAGCCAAAGATCCTAACGGAGGAGCGCTACATCGAAGAGATGTCCAAGATCATACAACGTGACTTTTTCCCCGATCTGGAACGGCTACGTGCACAAAACGACTACCTCGATGCAGAGTCGCGTCGTGACTTCCTGCAAATGGCTGAAATACGAGCGCGTTACAGCTTGGGTCGTGGCTCCACAACAGGCAGCAGACGCAACAGTCGCAACAATGGTAAGCTCCTACGGCCTTGAGTGACAATGATCCTTATCAAATTACTCTATTGCATTACAGCAATGTCGCCAGCAACATTTGAGACGCCGTTAAGCACAGCCAACGCAGGTGCAACTCCGCTTCCAAACACTCCGAACTCCACCACCAGCAGCCAGAAGAGCAGTGTCAGTCAGAGCACTGCCGAAGGTGGTTGCCAGGACACAATTTCGCGTAAAATGTCGCTGGACAGCTTTCTGCACAACTACACAAGTGAGGACAATCAAAGCTTTCAGGAAATCATCGAGACAGCAGAGATGAAACTGCGACAAAAGTACGCAGTTCTCTACAATCACGAGCAGCTGTCCACGGATCAGCTAAAGCGAGCCCTGATGCTACCTGGCATTGAGGAGCAGTTCGATACACCCGATCCATTGCGCAAAATCGAGACCTGGAAGTACACCAACAAGAACTCTGTCATGTATGTACCGGATGGCGTCGAAATGTCCGAACAAGAAAATTTGAAGCATCAGGAACGTAAACTAACTATACAACACGATGCCACAAGACTGCCGGCAACGTGCCAGCTGGAGGCAGAAACGAACCCTCCGGATGCCAATGCCAATAAAAATCCAACTAGTGAGGAGCCAAGCACAAACACGCCAAGAATTCGAGGCTTTGATCTGTTACGCTCACCGTCGCCGCAACCCGGCAAAGCCTTCTCTCCGATCATGACCTGGGGCGAGATCGATGGCACGCCTTTTCGTCTGGACGGCGGAGATACACCGCTACGCCACATGCCCGGACCCTCGTTTCACATTAATGAGAACTCACGGCGGGAGAACATTGCCATTGCGCTGGCCGAGAAGGTTAGCGAAAAGATGCGCAACCAGAAGCAACAGGCTCTCAACACAGCACGTCGTAACATTGGCTCGCCCTTTGTGCGGTCCAGCATGGAGCGCTTGGCTAGCATGTCACCAGCCGCTCGACGCTTGGCCACAGGCAAACTGGGACTACGCAGCACTCACACTCCACTGTTGACGCCTTCGCCCGCGACGGGCAAGCGCAAGGCTCCGAGTGTGGTTCGTACGATGCAGTCGATGGTCAATAGCAAACAGACTCCGGCCAAAAGCACGCCCACCGGTGCTGCAACGCCCATCGACACGGGCTCCACTCTCACAGACGATCTACTCAAAATTCCAGCGAATTCCAGACGCAGCGCTGCAGCCGATTTCTTTTGAATTACTTCAAGTTTGTTTAATTTTTTTTTTTAACGCGCTTTTAATTTGTATTTAGTTAACATAGTGTAATATAATTTCATAGAACCAGATTAAACTTTCATTTATATATACTGTATATAATATAGATACATATATATATTTACATCGGATATTTGTATTTCTAGTCGCGGTAGTCCACATGATCCCCCGACTTGAATTTCTTTGCCTGTAGCACCTGCACGAATTTGAGCACCGTTTGCTGTGGCGTGAGCATCGTCTTCGATTCACGCTGTTCCTTGAATGCGGCCGCCAAGCCCGGATCGTGTGACTCTGTTTGCACCTGAAGCGTCATTTGTGTGTCGATGACACCGGGCGCATAGTTAAGCACCAAAGTCTTGCCCGCCGACTCCTCCAGGGCCAGCACACGGAAGTACATCTCACGTGCCGCCTTGACCGTGCAATAATATGCCATCGAGGGGAATGGCTCCAGAGCGGCCAATGTGCTAAGATTTACCACTAGTTTGGGAATACTGGCGAAGGTGCGCATGAATTCAGCATTCAATGCCATTGCCGAAAATAGGTTGATGTGATAATACTGCTCCAGCACCTTTGTGTCACCTATCTCGCGGGCATGCTTCGATGTGTCCCCCAATGTGCCCGCATTGTGCACCACAATCGCACGCTCAAACTCCTTGCAATCTTTGCCCTCCAGCGTCTCGCCAAGAATGCGCTCAAAATCCGAGCTATCGGCTGTGGCCAGCTCCAGCGAATACGTGTGCACTGCCAGCTCGGGACGATCTGCTAGTATGGTTGACTTGGTCTCCTGCAGCAGAGGCTCGCTGCGGCCCATCAATACGACCAACGATCCCGCTGCCTTCAATTGGCGCGCCAACTGTTGGGCCATCTCGCGACCAATGCCACGCGAGGCGCCAGTCACCAGCAAATATGTGCGCTGCTCCAAATCCATGGCGAAAGGCAAGTTTTATTCCGTACCCACGAACTGCTGCGTCAACAGTTGGTTGCAGGTTTATTATGACTGCCGACCAAAGGCAGCTTTCAAGCAGCTTCCTCGAAAGCTTTGAAAAGTGTATGTATCTGTATCAGTTTATACCAGCAACAAAATATACCATATGTGTGCGTGTGCCTGTGTGTGTGTGTGCGCTGCAGCTGTTGATTCTTTCACAGGTTATGGCACTTGTAAGTTTAATGCTCGTGCCTAAGCCACACTAGTGTATCAAGTGTCATAACTATATCGATATAAATAGAGCCTCTTTTTGACGTGCTTTGTTCCCAACTTTGGGAAATTTGGGAATTTTGTTGAGCTTTTGCTTACACACACATGTTTGCGTATAGGCATATGTATGCCGGCATGTACATACATACATATGTACATATTTACGTTTACGGGTTTTACGCTGTCTAATTTAGACATATATACATATATGTATGTACACATGTATGTATGTACATATAAACATAGTTGCTTAACCGCTTTAAGATTCGCTTAGCCTGCCATCGGCATAAAGGTTATCGGTTCTACATGCTGTTCGCATTCAAATGATAATTGCTTATTAATTGTCGCACTTAAGATCGCATAATAAACCTGCAAATGAATTTAAACAGCAGCCGCTTATCAATAGCTCTCTGCTCGTACAGTGCGGAATGCTAGTGCAGTTATTTTCAAGGTCGAAATAACTAAAATACTTAATGATCTTGCGAAAACTTGAGCAAAACTAAATAAAAGATTATAAAAAGCTTGTCTCTTTTTTGAATTGAATATAAAGAGTCTGTAGGCCGATGCTTTTTTAAAGCTTCAAAAATATACATACATATGTATGTACATATTAGGCCTTAATATACATATATACAAATGTATTAGAAAATGAAAGTACACTGAAAAAAAAAATTAATGAAAAGAACTAGAAAAAATGAGCTAGTTTTAGAGCGTATCGTACGGACTTAGAAAACAATAATACACAGGTAAAAATAATAGGTTTACAATATTTTTATTGATTCTTAGTTTTATCACTAACCATACATAAGATTTATTCAGTATATTTATTATTTATATTTTTTGGTTTTACCCTAAATAAGTATAGTTTCTTTTGCTTAAAGGTTAGTAAAGCTAATAAACTATTGATACACATAAATATCACCCAATTAGCCAAACACAAAAATTTGCTTGTTGAGTACACCAAGCTTTACTTACACGAATAAATGTACAAACGTTTGTACGTACATAGTATGTATGTATGTATGTTTGTGTGTGTGTGTACACAGTGTAATTATTTCGGCATGGCTCAGTTGCCTCGCTCATTACAGCAACATTGTTGCTGAGACGGCGATTGTGATTGGGTCTTATCAGCGATAATCTTGTGTTGCTCTCGGAAGACTTGCGATTTTTAGTGAATGGTTAATGGAGCGCAGAGATAACATTTGAGTCATGCCCCCGTCGTAGCTGAGCTGGGATAGATAGAGAGGGACATTCCAATAATCAGACTGCTGTTGAACAGAATTTATATTCACGTTTTGTAGATGTATGTGTAAACTTGATTTCGCTTGAATTTCACGCAAAACGTATCGATAAGAAAATTAATAAATGCCATACCTAGCAACAGGGTGACCAGTAAGGCTCCATGGCATTTGGTCATTTCAGACAAATCGGAAACGGGCTGCGCCACAGTTTTATATATAGTACATAAATTGAATTTATACACGACGTGAATGTACTACAAATTATCTGGTTTTAAAAAATGTCTTATTTTGATTTAAAAAAACTTTTACAAAATTGCCACGCCTACTACAAGCGAAAAGGTTGAAACCTTTGACAATTGTAGAGATTATAGTAGGGCTCTTATCAGCCCTCAAAATACGGGAAAAGTTTAACGTTTGGAAGTAATGTCCCGGTGACCCGATTTATCTCGGTTTTCTTTTGTTTCGATAAAAAAAGCTCGCTATTTTTACAAAATGCAAGCTTAAAGAAGTTTTTGTCGAGATAGGTGAAGAATTTTGATGGTAAAAGCAGCGCAGATAAGTTTTTTCGTTTTCTTTTTTTGGGAGTCGTCCGTCCCGGAACGGGTTCAGGGCCATATGGTAACCCTGGATTATAGTTGACAGTCCCTTTCACTGATGTACCTATGTATGTATGTATGCATGTACATTCATGATAAGGCATACATTCGCACGTGCATACCAGTTAATCGCATTATCAGGCCAAATCTCTTTAAGCTCACAGCTCCTATTCTGGCTGTTGAATTCATTATCTCTGTAAGATCGGTCAAAGATCAAGCCCAACACCACATGGTACACACGACAATACCCTTATCAGAAACCCATTTAAAAATAAAAATCGCATTGTTTTGTGTTTCGTTTTCGTGTGTCTCGTTTGCGTAGCACGCAAATTGTACCGTTAGTAGCACAAGGATCAGCAGCCATATTTTATTCAAATCCGTATTCAGTTGGACAAAGTCTAGGTCGTCACCGTTCGCCATGTTGAAAAGCATGTCTGTGGCAGTTCGTGCCCGTGCAAGCCAATTGCGGTAAGTGATTGCAATTGGATGCACAGACCACGACTGCATTGCTACTCATAAGAAGAAGGTGTCGTAATAGTCCACATCATGGCCGGACACAAAGGCGGTCTTCTCCAGGATGTTGATCAGCTTGAGCGTCGAGTGCAGCGGCTCGACTCGCGGCAATTTTCGCTCTGGCGGCATCTCGATCAGCTCCTCGGGCGTCAGAATGTTGCCGTTCTCATCGCAATGGGTGCGATGCGTCTCGAGCACGCCGGGCGCATAGCTGAGCACATGGACATTGGCGCGCGCCTCCTCCGAGGCCATGGAACGGAAGTACATGTCACGCGCCCGCTTGCACGAGCAGAGCAGCGTGTTGTAGACCAACGGGCGCACCTGCAGCGATGAGGTGACATTGATGGCCAGCTTCTCGATGCCCTTCAATTGGATGGCGTTGAGCCAGCGTTGATTCAATGCCACCGGCGCGTACAGTTGATGCTGCACATACTCGAGCCAGGTCTGCTCCGTCTGCGGCTCCAGTAGCATATGCGTTGCAGTCTCGCCCTCGTTGTGCACCATGATGGTGCGCTGGAAGGGCACATCTCCGGCCAGCAGCAGGCTCTGCTCCAGCAGCTGCACGCCATTGCTATGCTGGGCATCCCAGACGCCAGGGACTATGAGGACCGCATCCGTTGTCAGTTGCCGTCTCAAATCCTCCAATTTCTCGGGATTTTCGTCCAGGATGAGCGCCATCGAGCCGGGTGCCAGGCGGCCGCACAGCTCCTGGGCAAGCGTCTGGCCAAGCGGATTCGAGCAGCCGCTCAGCACCAAAAACGTGCGCACACTTAGATCCATTCTCTTAGCTGCCATGACGACCTGCCACAGGATGCCCACTGTCAACTGACTGCTGTTCCGAACACTTTTGACTGTACAACTGTACTGATCCAATCGGTGCGCTCCAAGCGAACTGCTAGACTCGGTTGCGGCTGATAAGCGGTCTGTGTACCACGTGTGTCTTATATGTGGGGGAATCTGAATTGAATTGATGAGACTTAAGCTGATATTGCGTCAAGTCAACTGTCCTAATCTCACTGACTGGCGACTCGCTCGCTGGCTGTCTCTGTGTCTATCTATCTGTCTCCGGGTTTGCTTCTCTGAGCTCACTGTTCCGCGCGCTTGGCGCTTTTATACTTCGTCCGCTTGGCGATAAGGTGATCGAACTCTGCCTCGCCTGCCTTCTGTTGCGCATTCTATTCATTCTGTTGCCGTGCGCATCCACGGCGGGTGTCACCATGACCATTTGTAATTAACCAAATGGCTGAAAGTCACAATGAAGCACGCGTCTATCGCATGAACAGCGACGCGGCTAAAGCTGCTGCTTCCGTAGTATATCTTGTGGAATCAAAAAAGAAAGTATATATATATATATATATATATTGGGACTACTATAAAGAGCGAATATTCCCATAGTTGAACAACCCGTAATTGTCATAGAGCAAGGCCGATAAGCTATATACCCCTTCAGCTACGTACTATGAATCACTTTGTATACTCGTTCACGATGGGGATAGAGTATATTGGTTTTTCTCTAGATTCACTGTTCTAAAAACTTGAATGTTGAATTTTTGTAGTTTTTATTGCAGCCTTTGTCTTAAACTCTATAGCGAATTTATATGTAAGTGAATCTTAACTAATGAAATGGCTAAATGCCTTTATTGCTACAAGTCTTTTGTTGCTTTAGTTTAAGTCCTTCTGAGATCCAGGGGGTGCAACCTTTTCAGCCTTCTGTTGATCGTATTGCCGGCTTTAGAGCTTAAATCACTCAGACATGAGTCAATTCTAACTCTAAACTGAACGAGTATCATGCAGTCAGTTGTAACGTTTTTAAAAGCATGATTTACATAGCTGAGTTTCACCATCTTCTAAATCCTCATCGCTTTTGGATCAATGTATACTTCACAAATAGATTTCCATATGTAGACTTCACTGTAGTCACGTTATTATCCCTGTACATATGTATGTAAAGCAAAATTGATTTTTTGAACATTGACATTTAGATTAGCTATTTGTTTTACAGCTTGTTATAGAATCTAAACTCTGTCGTGTGTTAATTACTCAAAATGCCCTCTGAACCGTTACCAAACGATTATTCATTTAATTGCATATATTAATTACAAATATATGTAATGGGTATTTTTGATTTATAGACTGCCTGTTATGTACACAGATTGCAATTGAAAAAAATTTGCTAAACTTTTTACAAAAAGTCGACAAAAATGCAATAAAAATATTATTTCCCTGACAGTTTCAATTTGAAATGGAATTAACGCTGCGCATATTCAATAATATCGATTAATATTCAATATCGATAAGTGTGAAGCTGCAAGCAAATGCACGTAACTGTGCATTCAGTGTGTGCAAATGTACATGTATGTACATATGTGCGTCACATCCATAGACAAATCAACATCGCAAATTTGCAAACACGTCTGCTATGTTATTTACTAAAACAGAAATTAGGTCAGTGGCCTAGTTTCGCCAGCAATGGACCAATGGAAATGGCGAACCCTGACGTTGACCGGGGAATGGGGACGCAGCGCTAATCGGGCAAATCGTTCGCAAATGTTCTTGATTTTGCACAACTTTCATTGTTAATTTTTTGGCAGCATCGGCGTCGGCGCCGCGGCGTCGATGTTGCCGTCGGCAGCGACTGAGACAGAGGCGAAGTAGAGACAGAGAGAGCGAGACAACGAGAGTATAGCATTAGCGATATGAATTTCATGGAATTTGCAAAGTTTCGCGCGGTTTAGCGTTTATCACCACATCCCACAACATCCACTTGTCGCTGCACACTGGGCACGTGCTGCCGCCGAGCGAAAGCAGCGATGCGCAGCTGAAGTCGCCCCAAGAGCCTGAACTGTGACCCTGTCGCGTAGAAATGAGAAAGTGTCCCTGCCAAATGGAGCTAGCGACGTTTGGTTTCATTTAAAGCGAATCGCAGACATCGTGCATTTGCAATAAGAATATCAGTAATAATGCAAATAAGAATAACATAATGCACAACAACAGCAGCAGCACTAACAACAACAACAACAACCGGAGCTGCGCTTTAGATCTTGGGTATAAAACGTGTGGGTCGCTGCGATGTCAATTCAAACGCTTAACGAGCTCAGAGCAGCACGCGACCGATAAGACGAGCCCCTCAGTAACATCATACATTGTATATAAATATATTGTAATCAAGCATTTAACAATGCACGCCAGCAAATTAATGTTGTCTCTGGTGTTGACGCTGCTGTGCTGTCAGGGCGTAAGTAACTGGAACTTTCTATTGCGATTGGCCCAATTGTCTAATTGACGAAATCCGTCATTTTCAGCTATTGGCAGCTTGTGTCTGCTCGGAGAAGGGCACCGATTTCTGTCAGAGCTGCCAGGGACCGACGATAGTGCGACCGCGGCCGCGGTACTATGAGCCCAGCGAGGTGAACTTGTCGCCCATTGGCGACAATTGCTGGTGCAGCAAGCAGCTGATCGAGCCCGCCCAGCTACCGAAGACCTGCGGCAAAGTACGTGAGCTCTTTCAATATGTGCACGCATTTAACAATCTGTTGAGCCGTCGCATGCTTGAGGGCGCCATCGAGGCCAAGACATTGGCGGCACAGCGTCTGGCCGAGCGACTGCAGCGCTTGGAGCAAGCCGACTGCCACAAGAGGCGTGCCGTGCACATGGTGCCAGCGAGCTATGGCTATGGCCTGTGACTAACCCACTAAAGTGGCTAACAAACCTAATCTTAAGAATTGTAGATCAACCCCAAAACCAGACTATACAGTAGTATACACGCATGCCCAGTTTACGCCCCAGCACAATAAGCTAACACGCACATACATACATACATACACACACACATGACCACATCCTCTGTAGAAGCTGTCAATGCCACGATCAACGTTTCCGCATGCAAGCGCTATCAGCGGACGAATGCGCGCCGCAATAGGCCAACCATAACAACGTTGTGCTTGCATCAACATAATTATCATCGTCATCATCATCATTAGCAGCAGCGGCAGCAGCACAATAACATGATCATCATCATCATCGTAATGGACTTGGGCATCATCGGTCGCTCTGTCGTCATTATCATCCCGTACGTGCGCCAAGCATTAACAACATCAACATCGACAACAACAACCTGCTTGCAATGATAGAACTTAGTCAATACGATACCGATACCCAAAACTCTCGTCATTTCCACAGAAGCCACCATGCAAACCCACCTGCGGCTGTCAGAAGTGCCAAGATAGCAGCTACGCCAGCTCCAGCAGCAGCAGCAGCAGCAGCAGCAGCAGCTCCACATACGATAAGTGAGTATATGAATGCTCGGCCTACGATCCACAGTTGCTATCAATGACATCCATTTTAGCATTGGCTATGCGGCCGAGAAGTCGAGGGATGATAGCCCACCTGCTGATCCCATCAGCGTCAGCCTGGCCGTCCAGGCGGGCAAGGCTATCAATGTGCCCGAGGCCAAGCTTTCCTATGGATTCGCCCAGAAGCCCGTGGATGGACAACAGAAAATCTTCTTCTCCAATGTGCCCGAGGAGAATCTGTTTAAGCTGAAGAGCGATGTCATCACACTGAAGAAGCGCAACTATGTGGCCAAGGAGGAGGAAGAGGAGGAGTACGTAGAGGACGAGGAGGAGCAAGCCGCCGAGAGTGACGAAGCGGCGCCGCAATTGACATACAAGCAGCTTGGCTACATAACCGAACAATTCAAGAATCCCAAATTCAAGAAAATCATCTCTGCCAAATCCAGCTACAGCTCCAGCTCGGGCAGTGAAAGCTACGGCAAGGTGGGTGGCAAAGTTTCGGTCGACTGCGGCTTCAAGCCCGGTCGCGTCGCCCCCTATCGCAGTTCCCGTCGCCAGGAGCTGGATAGTGGCAGCTACTATTAGGTAGTAAGAGCAGAGTCTGTAAATATATGTATATGTGTAGGGATGGATGCAATGATGATGTATGATGTATGTATGTTTTAGTTAGCGTTTACAATTTATTTAAAATACACGATCCTTTTTAACAGTTGGCTGCATTTTGAAATATATATGTATGTACATGTTTCTTTATCGAGCTGAAGGAGATGGCCATGCTGCATATAAAAACTCTTGATAGCATTGAAGTGAGAATATCACATGAAACGGGCCTGTAATGCATTAATATGAAGAGCACGCTCATCATGCTTATTTTTCTTTCATTTCGAATGTCAAGACAATCAGATAAACAATACATAAAAAGTGAATTCCAAGTAAAAATGTTCGATAAGCAAAGAACACACGATTAAATAAACATTTGTATCAGCAGTTTTTTCCATTTTTTTTTGCTGCCCTAAAAGTATACCACACATATTGTTGGCTGTGGGTTGCTAAGAAAAGAACAAATTCAGTTTTTGAGATACATCACAGAAAATGCCCTTTAACGGCCGAAAGTTTAGAAATCTTTGGATTTTCGATGGCTGACTTTTGGCCGTATATCGATTAATCGATACATCAGCTCCACTACAATCGCCGTAAGCAGTGCGAAGCAGTTGCAAATCAAACACAAATGTTTATATAATTTTTCTGCCCCCAAACCCAAGTGCAACACTTGATTCGGCACTGAAATCAACGAACGCTGGAAACATGACTTTTGACAGAAAATATCGCAAGCGCAAATTATTTGAAAAGGTCAGCGCAAGCAACAACAACAGCAACAATAGCAACAGCAACGCGAACAAGTTGCAACAGCAGTGGAAAGCAACAACAATTGGAGTGAAAAAAACATTGTTCAAGTTCAAGTTCAGCCGCAGTCGTCGCCGCCGCCGCCGCTGGCCAGAACAGACAGCACTCCAGACGTGGTCGCTGGTGCTGCGTGAGAGATTGCACTGGATGGAGTCGAAGCCGATATAAAGAATGCGACCAGCCAAGCTTGGGCTAGTTGCCAGAGCGGCAGATACCTAAACAGACGCCGTTTGATACCATTTGATATACATATACATATATATATATAATAATAATTATATATACAGCTATCCACAACCATGTCGATCGCGATGGCGCTAATGCCAATTCTTGTACTGGCGCTGCTTGGCCATGTCGTAGCAGCCCCCACACCCGTTCAGGTTGTCTATACGGGAGAGGACGGCTGTGCATGCCCAACCCAGCTAGGCTACCAGCTGAATGTGCCCAATCCGAGCAAGCCCAAGAAGTACGAGGGCGGCCAGTATGGCTATCGCGTGGACAAGCCCGTGCAGGCCAAGGCCAAGATAAGCTACAGCTTCGACTTTACTGTCGAAGAGCCGCGCACAGCTGCGCCGCCCACAGTCAAACCGGCCAAACTGTACGCCAAGGTGGACCGTGTTACGGTCAACAAATCAGGTGGGTAACCCCATTGTTAAATATGATAATGAATGTGCATTAACATCATCTCTCTCCATCTCTCTCTCTCCCGTCATCATGGCAGATTGCCGTGCCCGGGACAAGTCGAGCTGCAGCTGCAGCAGCTGCTCCGCTGCCAAGCCAAGGTACGTAGCCCAGCAGCAGCAGTCCATGGCCATTGCCAATGGCAATGCCATACGTCGTCGTCGTGACCTAAGTTCGCATGGGTCGCTGCTGCGCAAACGCATAATGCGCCAGCAGCAGTTGCAGGAGCGTCCGGTGCGTTATGTTAAGCTCTATCACAAGGATCTGACGCCACAGCAGCAGCAGAAGATGCGTATATTTGGGCTGGTGCCCGCACAGGAGCACACGCCCGCCAAGATCAAGCGTAAGACAAAAAAGACATCGGCCCAGAGTGTGGGGCATGGCAAGCGCTGGCTAGGCCTGGGTCGCCACTTGGTCAAGCGCGACATCAAGGGTGAGTATGATCTGCTGGAGCGGGACCGTGCCAATATTGATTTGACGGCGCCAGAGATCATACAGTACATGCCGGAGACACTGAATCCCAGTTTTAAGCGCGGCCAGTGCCACATGGGCTGCGGCGCTATCACAGCCAGCGGGCCGGGCGATGCCGCCGCGGAGGCACCACAGTTCAGCAGCACAGGCAGCACAGGCAGCACCGAACAGCCCGAGCTCTCGGAACGGAATACCGAGCAGCCAGATGTATCGGAACAGTCGGAAATGCCGCCACCGCCATCGCTGGTCAACACGATACCGGCCAAGCGCTCGGCGCTCAGCTATTTCCCACAACAGATACCCTCGCCGCTGTCGGGCAGCTACAATGAGTACAGATTTGTGGATGACTCGCAGCTGAAAACGCTGCTGTCGACCACCTCGGTGCCAGATCCGCTCGAGCAGAGCTCCACGCCGCTGCAATTCGCTGGCGATCTGCAGTCGATCAGCCCGCGCACCTATGCACCGCCAGTGCTGGGCATCGCCGATGGCTATCCGGTGGAGCACGTGGCTAACAATCAGCTGGACAGCATCATATCGGGCATTGTTTACAAGCATCCGGAATATGTTGATACCGGTTCACAATATGGCGGTGTCTTGGTCGACCCCGAGCCCGAACAAAGAAAGCAAACGACAGAATTTCTCAAGAAGCTCTTCGATGGCCGTCTCGGCGGCTGGGGCTTCGACACGTCCACCGAACCAGAATCGGCGCTCAGAGCTGATTACTCGACGACGCCGTCGAAAACCTATGGCTACAATAGCCACGATCACGGCGGCTACAGCTTGGATACGTACAATGTGCCGCCCATCACAGACTATCTGCGCGCCTGGTTCTAGGCACGAGTCGCCTAAGCACTTAACTAACTCTGTGGGCTGATAGATCATTGTATTATACATATTTATATATACATATATTTAGTGCGGTTGTTTATATAGGGGAATATCTGTGGTTCTACTTCTATGCTAGTTGCCTAGTTTATAATAAACTTAATACCAAAACAAATTACAACAAAAATAAATGGGAAAATTATTGGCGGCTTTTTTTTCTCACACTCTGATTCGATTCTCGTTGCAGCTACTACGGCCACGGCAACGGAGACGGAGACGGCGGCAACGGCAACGGCAACGGCTACGGCTACTAAAGAAGATGACCCAATGGGCCAGCCAAAAAATTCTGCTGAGCCCCGCAAATCTGGGCGCGCATTTATTTAGGCCAGTGGAACAATGCCCGCTCCACTTGTACAGTTTCTCTATATATATATGTAAAAATCTTTGTATATATGGTTTGTAAATTGTATTTAATTTATTTCTCATATTGCACTTTTCATCGTTCTGTCCGCCCGTCCGTTCGTGTGTGGAGCGTTTTCTGCTTACGTTCACAATTCAACGTCAACTTCTGAGTTATGCTCCAAAAACTATTCAATAAAAGTCTTTTGCCTTGTCTAACTACAAATGTATGCTTATTTATTACTATCTGAATAACAATTATTACATTTCAATGTTCCAGATTGTCTATACTAACTATGTATGTATGTACATATGTATTGCAGACATAATATGATTATGTAATGTTACATCTAGTTTAACCTTAATTAACAATTACTTTATACATAATTTATGCCATACTAATATGTATATGCATGTTCTCTACATACTCTCATATGTGTACATATGTATATTCGTGCTCCTATCAAGGTTAACAGCTACTCTCACATTCTTCTTTCATCGTTCACGTTCATGTTTTTCTTTCGGCTATTCAGTTGCCTTGAAATGCTAATAAATTTGAACAGGAAGTCGTTTTCTTATCGATGCGTCAAGCTTGCCGATTGCTTAGCTATCGATTATTGGCTGACTGAAGATGCGATAGTGAGCTGCAATTAGATTTCTGCTATCTCTGATAGATTAGCTTTTGCATCTCTTTTTCGCTTTTGCACTTTTTACCAGTTTCGATGCTTTTTAACTACATATCTGTTCGAGCATTTATTATCCACATACCATAAACATTCCAAGCGTATTTCACGATTTTTGCGTGCCAAATAAATGCAAATGCAAAAGAAAATTCGAGTAGGAATTTCTCATGTATGTATGTATGTATGTTGATAGATCTTGCTGATTTTTGAATCATAAACGACTTGGCACTAACAACAATATGAACTTTAACCTTTAAAACGGTAACCAGCTTTCAATCTCTCTGCAGTGGCATTCCGGCCTCTTACTCAGTTCCACTTTTGCGGAAGTTGAAAGCTGCTCTCGATGCACAAGTAAATATTCACAATTTATGCCATCCTCTGTCTTATTTGCTCTCGCTCTCTCACTCACCTGCCACCGGAAATGGCCGCCATGCTGGCCGCCATCAATGACAAGTGCATTGCGTACTGGCCATAGCTACTGGAAGCCTCGTACGCGCCCATTGAGCGGCCAGTGCTAACCGTTATTGTTGACCCTGGGCCAGCTGACGCATCGAAGATGAAGCAAGGTTGACACAGCGATGATGCAGTCGATGATACATCTGATATCTGGCCATAGATCACGTCTGCGCGCACGCTGCCCGCTTTGGCTAGTGCACAAAAGCTCACGCAGCTGAAATCGAGTATTTAAGTCCAGTTCTTTTGGAGCGCTGAGTTCAGTTGGAGAGCCCGAGCAGAGATCACACATCAAGCTAACTTAACATATCAGAATGGGCGCCCCTGCCAACTCTGTTTGGCTGCCGCCGCTGCTAATGCTAACGGTAATGGCATTGGCACAGCTGGCAATAGGGCAGGTGAGTTATCGGAAGACCCTAAAGCATAACGAGCGCAAATAAACTCTGAAATCAATTACAATCAGAAGAATGACACCATCAGCAGCAGCAGCAGCAGCAGTCCGAGCAGCCTCAGCAGCAGCACCACAATCCGTCCCAGCTCCGATGCTGATTTGGTAATTGGCGGTGATCTCAATAAGGCAGCTCGTGTTGAGGAGATGGACAAGGCGCTGGAGACAGACCTGGATAGCAATGCGGTGACACCGAAGGTTGCTGAAGATGGTCAGTACGATGTGATCGATGTTATGGCCGCCACAAGCGCCGGAGTCGGCAAGCCCAAGAGCGGCCAGACGACGCGCATCTATACCACCGGCGAAGTGAACGATGATTTCTGGCTGAAGCATTTGGGCGACGACTTCAAGCATGCCATTCACCTGCAGGTGGGCGGCACCAATGAGGACTACAATCGCATCATCAATCAGACCAACAATGGTGTGCATGAGGAGGTGCATCATGAGTATTTGCCGGGTGCCGAGCGGCCGCCAGAGGTGCAACAGCAGGAACAGCAGCAGCGACAGCAGCAGCAGCAGCAGCAGCAACAGCAGCAGCAACATTTCAGTAGATCCGCTGGCTATGGTCACCCTAATTTGGTCACCCAGTTGAGTCTCGATGGCGAGGCAATGTCGCTCAAAGCCAACTACCATAGGCAGCAGGCGGAGCACCAGAGGCAGCTATACGAAAGGGGCTATGCATTGCCCAACACACAATACAACACACACACAGTTTATAGGCACCCACAACACCCACAACACACACAACAGTCACAACACACGCAACACACACAACACAAACAACACTCACACACACAGGCTGGCAAGTCGGCCAATGGCTTGCGCCATCGCTACAAATCCAATCCAGCTGCATCGGAAACCTCGCCTCCTGCCAGCTACATCAGCTCCAGCGAGGACACCTTGCACGCCGAACAGTCTCAGGCCGCGCCCAGCTCGAGTGTCGCACGCTCCGAGGACTTCGATGGCCAGCTGCCCTTCAAGTCGGCGTTCAACGATTTCGGCAGTCGACCCACTCGCGATCTAACCTATTTGCTTTATAAGCGCGGACTCTGAGCGCCGGAGACTAAATAAGTTTAGCATTTAATAAGTCAATAAACGCAAGAAAAAAAGAAAATGAAAAAATTTAAAAGAAAACGGTTTTACTTTTTGTCGTTAGGATCGTAATAATATATAGCATACTATATGAATTAAACAGAATACTCTAGCTGTATTATAAGTAGAGATATGTATGTATATATATATATA